CTTTCAATAGCTGCCCACTGCACCACCTGGTGGTGGATGGGTTAAATGCAGAGACTAATTTCGCCATTGTATGGAAACATACAGTGCTGACATTGTGATGACATTATTATTATTATTATCTATCTATCTATCTGTCTATCTGTCTGTCTGTCTGTCTGACTATTGAAATCAGTTTTGATTCATTTTTCATTTAATGATCTCAAGTCTTTGACCTCTGAGGGATTTCAAACAACTGTTAAGTTCATGGCAAAAACTAACGCAGACATGTTCCTGCTTTTAATATTTTATATCGCTTTATAATGTAGCTGGTTTTGTTTTGTTTTTAGATCATTTCTTCCATTTACTTTTCATTTATATGCTTTTATATGACTGTCTATTGTTGTCTGTACTTCATCCATGTTCTTTGTTTAAAACAGGTCTCTCTTGTAAATGAGTCCTCGAGGCTCAACGAGACTAACCTGTATAAATAAAGGTTGAAAGAAAAGAAAGTTTTACTTTATTGAATTAGATGCTTGCATCATGTTCCAACAAAACGGCTTTAAAAGTTGTTTAAGACAGGAAGTAATTTGGTCATCTTTAACTTGGTTATTGAAATGTGTTTGGTTGGTTTTTTTGTTGTTTGTTTATTGCACCTTTTGGAGTTTATTTGAGATTTTTGCAGTCGATAAAATCAAGATTCCACTACAGTAATAAATTGTTGTGGATTTTAAACCTTACAGTTTACAATCTCCAACATGGCTGGGATGAATAAATCTGAGAGAGGATCAGTTGTTCTTCAGAAGGAAACGGTGTTGCCACATATTTATTGCAGTATATCTACCGTAAACATAAAGTTGCAAAATAAAAACGGGATTCTTGTTGGCTCCCTCTGATCCTCCTTTCTGAAAAGGGAGAAACAAAAAAATTAAACATAAAAATAAAAAAGGCCTAGCATTACTTGAGGGAGTGCATATCACTCAGAAGACCAGGTTTAGAAGTAAAACTGACAAATCAAAACTTTGAACTTAATTTTATATTCAGTGATTTATTAATATTTTTGCTGTGTGATGACAGGTATCATGATGTTTAAATACAGTGAAGACACCTCTGGACTGATTTTAGAGCAACTTATCCTGCCATGCAGCTGATATTTTCAGGGAAGTCTTCTTATTTCAGCAACTACAAATTTCATATTGCAACGCTGTGATTCTGTTTAGAATTCAAGATGCCAAAACGGTCCATCTGTAGCCTGGATCTGTCACACTCTGATGACATTTGATGCATCATGAAACAAAAACTAATTTCAAGGGACTCACGTAGCCCCGGGTTGAATTAAAAAAAAAAAAAGGGAAAGAAATTCTCATTTAATTTTTACAAGCGCATTCTTGCTTGGAATAGAGTTTTAATTACTAATTCCTGACTTACTTTTCTGGAAAATGTCTCCGTTGTGCAAAGGCCAAAGTGTAACTGAGTACTTGAGAGCTATAATTACCACGTTCACTCAGATATTCTCAGGATTAACTAAAGACTTTGCGTTCCTTGAGAGAATGCAGATCATCGCCATCTTTCATTCTACAGATTTGGATTAAGATTATTTTATGCAGAGAATTTACATAGTTGTAGCTGTAAGGAATCATGTAGATGTACATCTACTGATTATTTCTCAAGAGTTTCAGTCATTTTTACCCAGTGGTTCGTGGGATATTTTGCTAACAAACAGGGTTGACTCCAGCAGTTAACAAGTCTAGAAGGAAATACATATTGTCACCTTCCTGTCTGTAATTTATACACAGAAAGTTATACCTTCATAAATTAAACCCTCTATAGTTCTTGATGTCTTCGTGCCCTCCTCAGCCCTGACTCCGAGGGTTAGTGATGATGCTCTCTGTCTCCTCCCCACTGCATCTTTTCCTTTTCTCCCTCTCATCCCTTCTCTTACTCTCTCCTGCTCACATCGGCCCCTTCCCTCTCTCCCTCTCCTACTCCTCCACAGCTCTGTCAGTCACCCACAGACTCACACCAGCTCTCTCTGGGCACCATCTCCACCATCTGTGATCCTCCTTGTGTCTGCGTTTTGCCAGGTGGACGTAATCCCCCCCCCACCCACAGCCACCATTTCAGCCCCGGAGAGTTCCAGGCTGGCAGCGCAGCCCCTTCCCAGGCTGAGCATCGGGCGCAAGACCCTGGTGGCAGCTGCAGTGGGGGTCATGCTGGTCCTGTTTCTGGTGGTCCTCATCCCTGTGCTCGTCAGCTCCGTTGGCACGGGCGGCACAGACGACAGTGTCAGCCACTATGAGATGCTGGGCACCTGCCGGATGGTGTGCGACCCCTTCCCCAGCACTCCGAGCACAGGCGTGCACACGGCCACGGATGCATCCACCACCAGCTTTCTGGTGGACAACGAGGAGGATCCAAGTGACCACAGCATTGGGCCGCCACTGCCCACCTACAGCGCTCATGGCTCGCAAGGTAAACTGGGACGTCCTGGCAAGCCTGGACCCCCAGGACCCCCTGGGGAGCCAGGTCCACCAGGACCAAGAGGGCCACCAGGAGACAACGCAGACCTTGTTCGGCCGGGGATTCTCGGGGCAGTTAGCACGACCACCTACAACACCACCCCTCGGGTGGCATTTTACGCAGGACTACGAAACCCTCAAGAAGGTTACGACATACTGCGGTTTGACGACATTGTGACTAACATTGGTGGTAACTACGAAGGCGCATCGGGCAAGTTCACTTGTAAAATCCCAGGAACATACTTTTTCATCTACAACGTGCTGATGAGAGGAGGAGACGGCACCAGCATGTGGGCTGACCTAATCAAAAATGGCCTGGTGGGTGACACTTTTAATATAACTTCTTTTCCACAAATTGAATTGCATATTATATCATTGCTAATTTAAATAGAAATGTATGGATTTATTTCTGACTCTGCTTTTTAGATGTTCTTGTCCATAATCCCAAAATGTGACTTGCTTCAAACTGAGCAATGCAACCAGTGTGCAGGCAGTTCATTCAAGTGTGCCATAAATTAGACTAAGCCTGGTGCTGTAATCTTATATAATGACAATTCACACTGACATGCTGCCAGATTGTATATTTGTGCATAAGGCATATCTCCTGATGTGCATGTTGACCTGAGTGGATGGAGGGCAGCCCATATCTCTGCTGTGCACACATGAAAATACAACCTCAAGCTTGTGGCTAGTTCAAAGCTATTGCCCTTTAAAATACAATAAACTTAATGGAAACTTGATGCACCTGTGCATGCTATCAGACTGCAAAGCCTTTCAATATAGATTTGTGATATTTGCTCGATTCGTGAATAATTTTGTAAACGTCCAAAAAGCCTGAGGTGATGACAGTGATCAAACGGCTCACACATCAGAGCCTAAACACAAACATCTCACCCAGACTGCAGGACTGGACAAAATATCAAACTCACGAGCCTCGTAGTGAAATCCAATAGGATGCCGTGTTTATGACGCTGATTGATTTAGTTTTAAATAAGAAAATTATTAGAATTTCCAAAGCTTTTATTTAATGTGTAAAAGCAAAATGCACTTTGCATGCACCCCAAATTATAAATCAAGCAGTGTGCACTGAAACAGTCTGTTGTCATATCTGATTGCATCATATTAGAAGGGGTTTGTCTTTTTGTTTTTTAAGAAGCAAAACACTTTGGCTATAAAACTACAACAAATACACAAGAATCCATCGTTTCAAAAAGCTGCACGTCACAAATGTTGCATTGTAGGTCTGGTTTGTTTATCACTGCGCAGAAGGTTTTCAGTAAAAAAAAAAAAAAAGACAGGGCACTTCAGTCTCACAAACTCAAATACACATTTAAAATTAAGGAACATTTTAGCAAGTTAAACGACATAACTTGGGTCTAAATTGGTACAGAGGAAACACCAGCAAAATCCCTCATTTTTGTAAATTTTGTCAATTTTTGGGAACCTTTGTCTAAAAGCATCATTCAGCCAAATGAAACAACCTCATCAATCTAAAGCCTTCAAATGGTCCTAAACTGTTCTGAAAACTCAGGATTCAAACACAATCGCATTTGATTTACATCAATTTGAAGCTCATCAAGCCACGCGGGACCATCTTGTGTCTCGTTAGTTTAGAAGAGACTTTAAATCAGGAGAAAAATGTTGTCCAAACACTTGTTACAGTTTTGCAAAGTGCAAATCTGTAAACGCACACCCTCAATATACGAGGAATGAGTTAAATCTCCAAACAAAAAGAGGCAAAGGATTCAAATTTTGTGCAAAACTGCAAAATCTTCCTAAGATGCCAAAATTTCACTGAGCCAGAACCTTCAAATCTTTAAACTTGTTGTATAAAACAACAATATTGCTGTATTTGTTCAGTGAGGTGGCAAAAAAAAAGGTTTAAACTTTGAGTATCTGTTAGTAAAATTACACAAATAATAACCATTTCAATAAAAACTGTAGGCTGACCATTAAAACAGACAGTTACAGTAGATCAGTCATTTAAACTTGACTTGAAGCAAATTAAGCACAAACTAATCATAAATAATAGACAAGAGCTGTTTTATAATGAAAAATAGCTCATATCTCATCCCATACACACTTGGTCAATATATTTTAACATAATTATGATAATCATAGGAATAACAGTAAGAGCTGGAACAGAACACAATTATCTAATTTCTTTTTGATATATTGGGTCAGTTCAGCCAAAGATGGCACTATGATCCTGATTTTCTTTTTGTTATTTCCCTCCTCAAAAAATTGGACACTTAATGACTACAATTTGCAATCAGATCAGGTCTGGATGGATATTGTGCAGTTAATGAGAAACATCAAGTAAATCCATCTTCATGTTGATATCCAAACGCCTCTTCTTGTGCATTTCAAGTCCATTTGGGCTCATTGGAGTACTTTGTATTTATTTTAGTTTGGCTAACCTGTCGCACAACCTTGTTGAAATTGGGATTATATTTTTATGATTGGAGGGGTAAAGCTTTAAAAGAATATCATTAAACATTAACTTAAGCTTAAAGGGATATGTCTCCCAGCATGCGTGAGGAGGAACTTACCCCCACCAGACAGGCGAGGAGATTTGGGTATAATGCTTCTTAACCAACACCCTCTGTAATTACCCAGTGTTGACACAATGACACTTATATGCAGCAAAACATGACATTTTTGGCACTTCACCCAGAGAAAGGTGGATGTAAAAGCAAAACATGAGAGGAAGGGAGAGTGTGCGCTGCCATCTTTCCTCACAGGCAATCTGACTCAAGCCTGACCCTTTCAGCTGAGTCATAAGATAAAAACAGGATATTCACCACAGGGGACACACTTAAACAAAGTCAAAGTGCCTAAATCAGAACTTACTTTGAGCAAGTTTTCTTCTTGCAACAGAAAATCAGCTTGTATTATAAACAAGGTGGTCAAAATCATGCAGTCATGGATATTGTTTCATTTTAAGGCATAGTTCAGACTTTCTGAGGTGAAGTTCTGTGGAAAAGGTTATGAGCAATAAATATCTTACCTGATGTAGATAGTTCTTTGAACAGTCTCAGTTTGGAGAAATTGAGTTTAATTCTTACCATAGAGATGAGCTAATAGCTAGGCAGACCGTGACAAAAACCAAAGCAAATTGCAGCTGTTTTAAAGCAACTTAAATCTAAAAAACAAACTAAAAACAACATAGCAGACACTATTTTATTAACTTTTTCTTTTTTTAACATTAAGTTGGGTTCACACTGTGCAATTTTCAACTCAATGACAAAATTTGTTGTTAAAAAAAAAAAAATCAAATCAGAAGAATAAATTAGTCTTCAGCTTAAATCAGTGTTTTGTGCTCGACCATTGTGACGGGCTCACCAAGAGCTGAATCAGCACATTCACGACCAAAGACGACATACAACAAATACAAGCAGCAGTCTACTTCAGTCTCAGATAAGCCTTTAGCTCATGAATAAGGTCAGAGTTAAACTATTTACATGTAAGACAGCAGTTCCCAAACCTTTTGTAGCATGTACCAGTTTCAAATATAATGTCTCCACAGACTAATGGGGAAAAAGAAGCGTTACAGTGAATTTTGTTTTTTACTTTTTTTTTTAAGGATTAGCCCATAGTTTTGCTAGTACATGAACAAAATGTGATGAAATCAGGCACATGATAGCAGTGTTGCTAACTTATCAATTGGGAAAGTATTACTGGATTTGCAAACTTGACCATGTTCACGTAACTGTAATGGACACTGAAGAAAAATGAAAAATCATTGAGGGAAAGATAAAAAAGACAGTTAAAAACACCCTATTATATTTTGCAGTACAAGTTTACTTTTTTCTTTCACCTCCTCTTTAACTTTTCTATTAACATCAAAATTCCATTAATCCTCCTTTATTTTGGAAAAGGCAAACGTACCATAAAAGACACTTGTGTGAGATTGTTTGAGTGCTGTGATTTATTTAAAACAAAACATTTTTTTCACCATTTTAACCCACCTTGATCATAGACTAGGGTGGGATCAGCGTCAGAGCATTCGTGACTTGCAGGAGAGGTGGGAAATATGACTCTTTAAAAGGAGCCGGATCTTGTGGATCTGTTAGTTTTAAAGAGCTGACACCACTACATACAACCTATGTTACTACGTACGTTTATTGGTACGTGCACGCACGGGCCATTGCAAGTGACTTGTCAAGTGCTCACCCATTTCCTCCTGGGTGTTCCCCATAAATAACAGTGTGACTCTTCCCCTTCCCTATAAATATTTGTGTGGCTCCTCCCCTTCCCCATAAAAAACGGAGTGGCTCCTCCCCTTTCCAATAAACAACTGCATGGCTCCTCCCCTTCCCCATAAAAAACTGCATAGCTCCTCCCCTTCCCTATAAACAACTGTGTGGTTCCTCCCCTTCCCCCCAAAACAACAGAGTGGCCCCTCCAGTACTCCATAACCAACTGCATGGCTCCTCCCCTTACCTATAAAAAAATGTGTGGCTCCTCCCCTTCCCTACACATAACTGTGTGGCTCCTCCTCTTCCCCCATAAACAACTGTGTGGCCCCTCCTTTCCACCCATAAACAAATGTGTGGCCCCTCCCTTCCCCATAAACAACTGTGTGGCTCTTCCTTTTCCCCATAAACAACTGCATGGCTCCTCCCCTTTCCCCATAAACAACTGTGTGACTCCTCCCCTTAACCCATAAAAAACTGCATGGTTCCTCCCCTTCCTTACAAACCACTATGTGGCTCCTCTCCTTCCCTATAAACAAGTCTGTGGCTCCTCCCCTTTCCCATAAACAAATGCATGGCTCCTCCCCTTCCCCATAAACAACTGCATGGCTCCTCCCCTTCCCCATAAACAACAGTGTGGCCCCTCCCCTTCCCCATAAACAAATGTGTGGCTCCTCCCCTTCCCCATAAACAAATGCATGGCTCTTCCCCTTCCCCATAAACAATGGTGTAGCTCCTCCCCTTCCCCATAAACAAATGCATGGCTCCTCCCC